TGCTGAAGAGGACGGGGTCCGGAGTATTATTTTTGGATGTCGCATATAAAGCCGACAAAAATTAAGCAAAAGTAATCGTTACTCTATAAGTTTTGAGTAACATAAAACTTACATAACTTCCACCTTAAAAGAAAAAAAATCTAGAGCTTTCCAAGTTCATGGTCAAGTGTCTTGACTCAAGACAATTTTTAAGGTTTTTTGGGTTTGGTCTTGGAGTAAAGTCTTTATCTTTAATCTCGGTACATTAGAACACAAAAGAAAAGATAATAAAGATGGGAAGAGTGAAAGAATGAGATTAACTCCACAAAAATGAGCTTGCTAAAAATTATGGTAGGATAAACATCTTCTTATACTTTATTAGATTTATTTTGATTTAAATTTTTGGATAGTTTTTGATTTAATAATTGCCACTTGTAGAAAGCACTGTATATTTTTGGATGTCACATAGAAGTCGACAAATAAGGAATTTTGGATAAGTAACATAAACTTATGCCATTTTAGCTGCGGTCGGGTCGGAAATTCTGGCTTCTTCCGCAGAAGCAAAAACTGCACGTATATCAAAGTAAAGAGCTAAAACAAATGCTTATAACTTTGTTAAATCAAGTTGGATTTCGCTAATTTTCCTGTCATTCGACTCAGCTCGAGGAGTTTTTCGAATGACATATAAATCATCAATATCTGGGTTACTAGGCCTAAAAAGTTGAGCTCGAGCTCGAACACGGGTTTTTCAAACTCGAATTACTCGAGCTCGGGTTTTTCCCAATTACTCGGTACTCGACTTACTTTAGTGAAAAATGCGAAAGATGCGAATCGCGAAAGTGTGCCCAGCCCTGTTGCATAGGCATCAATTTCCATTGGTGTTAGCTTTTGCTATGACTGTGAATAAAGCACAAGGACAGCCATTAGAAAAACTAGAAATAGATTTAGTTAAAGATGTGTTTAGTCATGGATATTGTATGTGGCCCTTTCAAGGGTTAGATCTTGGCAAGCTTTGATATTAGATTATTAGCAAATAACTGATTTATAAAATAAAGGTGGGACCCCCGATTGTGTTGTTTCTAATGCGAGGACCCAACCACAGAATAATGTAATAAGGGAGAAAATATGCCCGGGACTTCCTAGGATAAACTCAAGAGTTGATCAGGCCCTCTGTTGATCTCCTTCACCGGACACACACAATTAAACACAATTTATTAGTTTAATCCAAATAATATTAAAACCTTTATGTAATTCGTTAAAGTGAATAAGCAAGAATGTGGAATGGAATTTAAACTGATAAAACGGATATAAACTATAGGAAACAAACTTCGGGATGCTTTTGATCCTCCCAATAATACCCCATTAAATAATATGGAAACTCTTCGAAATCCTGAAAACGGAAGGGTACAGTAATCCTTAATTTTTCAAACAAAAATTTCAAAGTGCAAGTTTTAATTGTAATAAAATTAATAATTAAATTTTTATTTCAAAGAAAAATAAATTTTTTAATGAGAAAATATTGTAACCGTACACCTTATTACCGACATCACGCAATTTACAACAAAAATTGCCCATCAATTCTAGCCATTTCTTAATAAACGTATAATGCCCTTAATTTTTAAAGACGCAATAATTATTGTATATTGCATTTTCTTCCTATTACATCATCAAAAACACTGCATTTAAAAGGGAATCCAAATTTTAAAAAATCAAAAATTAAATAAAAATGTCAAAAAATTTAGCCTTTTTCTTAATTATTTTCTTCTGTCAATTATTAACCTCTCAACAAGTCAAATTAAAATTAATTGAAGAATTTAATAATGGGGATGATAATAAAAAAGGTAACGAAATAAATTTGTTATTTTAAAATTCTAGTTGAAGGAACTGTTTCTTATTTGTTAGTTTCAGAAACAGAGTAAGAGTTAAATAGTTTAGCTTAAGGAACATGCAGATCAGAGGTGAATCGGAATTTCGAATTACGACTTCTGAGCTATTTCCGAGTTCCGGCACTTCTCTAGTGGAGTGCGACTTTTGCTTCTCATTTCTCCTTTAATGCGGATCATCCATATAACAGTGGAACCGCCAAACTTTTGGAGTTGATCAGAAGAAGCAGAAATTACGCGCGCGCTTTTTCATCTTTTTCAATTACTCTATTTTACACTTTTTAGTGTTAACTTGTTAAACTTTAAAATTTAACTTAACTTGTTAACCCTAACTTGCTTCAAGATTTCCGAATCTTAACAAATTTATTATTAAACGATTTCTTTCATTGGCTAAAGAGATTGGCACACGCAAAATTTCTCAGATAGTTTGTTTTGTCCGCAAGTTGTTTTGGGCTGTAGCCTTTTAACAATAACCTCATAAAATTTTTTAAACTTAAATTTATTCTCTCCAAAAATATTTAGAAAAAGAGGAATCTACAAGCAACCATCAATCACATAATGTAAATTCAAAGGGACACCAATTAAGAAACTTCGAGTTTCAAACCAAGGAAAAAAAATTTTCAAACTCAAATAATGTTGAATCAGTTAATTTAAATCAGATTTTTTGATCTTATAAAATCTTGCTTTTTCTAGATTTTAATTAGAGAAGCTAAAAAAGATATAGAAGCTTTAAAAAGTGAATTTACTCGATTAGAATTTATTTTTGAAATTTTTGATGACAAAAATAAATTTTTCTGTCCTAGCTATGTGGACGGGTTGCATATTGAAAATTCTGAATGGAAGGAAAATTGTTGGAAGTGGTTTAATCTTCGGGTACCTGTAAAGAATTGGATACAATTTTTAATTGTTGTCGATAATCCTTATGGAGGTAATTACCGTATTTTTCCCAATAGAAGCGCATGCGCTTCTATTTTTCAACCTCCTCGTAGGCTGCGCTTCTATTGGGACGTGCGCTTCAAATGGGACGTGCGCTTGTATTTTTCAACTCCTATGCGAATTAATTTTTATAAGGCAAGATAGTAATAGGCAAGATAGTAATATGTTTTGCCCCAATTATAACTCAAAAAACCTTGAATCTTTCGACAAGAGAGGGATCAAGTCGTTTACGTGAAAGTAGTACAAAGGGAAGAAACATAAGATTTCGTTTTTGAGTATATCACCGGTTACATTACTTGAACATTCACATAAGCATTAATTTGTGAACTGGAAAGAATCCTTTTATAAAAATGTGTAAATTCTTAATCTAAATGTAACTGAATAATACGTGTTTAAAATAGTAACTATGTAACAGATAATTGCTCAAATAAGTATTTCATAGGGTGCGCTTATAATAGGACGTGCGCTTCTAATGGGACCTGCGCTTGTATTTTTCAACCTCCTCTTAGACTGCGCTTCTATTGGGACGTGCGCTTCAAATGGGACGTGCGCTTCTATTGGGAAAAATACGGTAATTAAACATTTGGATTAGTAGTTAACTGGGCAAATTTAGACTTTTAACAGATAAATACTCTAAAAAACTCTTTTCAAGTTTGAGTTAAATTCAGAATAAATCGCAACTTTTGCTTGTAATAAACTTGCGAGGACTTACAGTCGTCGACATAAAGATAGGGGCAAGAGTAACTGAAATGAAAATTAACTATTTTCTCAGTCAAAAAATACGTTCTATACAGCAATCGAAAGTCAAAGTTGGTCGGCAATAGTTTGAGCTGAAATTAGTTCCATTATCCTCATGTAATAAGAAAAACTTGAGTTGATTCTGTGCCATTTTTGTGGGGAAAAGTTGAAATAAGTAAGTTGGAGGAAGTGAGATCATTGTCATTAAGATGTATTAAAAAGATGGTGAAAGCAACCATTTTTACTTATATGTATTCTTACTCTAATTTTAATTAATTAAATATAATTCCTAAAAATAATTATTTAAAAATAAGGCCCTTTAAAATTAAATTTGACTGCCAGACCGATACTAGAAAATGTTGATGAAAGAATCACATTACATGACGAATACCAAAATAAAGTTAAAAAAGCCCTTCCACAATCTTCAACAATCGAAAATAAAAATTTTGAAACAAAATCAAAAAATTTAGTTAATATAGTCAAGACTTTTGAAGAAATTACACTTTATAGAGAGACTAAAAAGACACCTCCAAATTGGTTGAATAGAAGTGTTTGTGAAGTTGTTGATACTTGGATGCTTTTTTATAGAAAATATGAAGCTATGAGACGTTATAAAATTAATGATGTGGAAGACAAACATGAAGAAATTGAAAAATTAAAGGCAATAAAAATATTTTTAATATTGAGGAGTAGGGTTGTCGGTTTCTGGAATTCTTCGGATATCCGAAACCGAACCAAAGAACTGTAAAGCATATAGCTATTTAATTCCTAAGGCTATGCAGTAGGCGGCGCGGTGTAACGGCTAACACATCAGTTTGATCTACTGAAGTGTTCCGTGACTTTTGCGCCGAGAACATTTGCGGCGCCACTATAATTAAAAATATCTCAATAACTACAGCCGGACCTCATTTTAGTAGGGTTGTCGGATAGTTGGTAATCTTCGTATATCCGGATCCGATATCCGAACTGAAAATTTCGGATATCCGGCATTTTTTGGATCCGGATTTTTTAAACAATGGCGGCGCAAATGTCGCGGTGCATAAATCGCCCGGCGCAAAAGTCGCGGCGCAAGAGTCGCGGCGCAAAAGTCGCGGCGCAAGAGTCGCGGCGCAAAAGTCGCCCGGCGCAAAAGTCGCGGCGCATATGTTCTCGGCGCAAAAGTCGTGATACCTACTGAAGATACTGGTTCGCTCCCAGCGCGGAATAACCTTTTGCACTAGCTAACGGAGAGAAATAGCTAATAACTGAACTGAACTGAACCATCTTTGGTTACTGAACCATACTCGTTTCTCCTGTTCGGTTCGGTCCAGACCGACAACCCTATTGAGGAGTATCACTACTTACCAATATCACACCTACCTAGTTTCCCTCGGTTTTCACTTTAAAGTCTAACTATATCCGCTTATCTTTTTTACTTAATCAAAACATAATCGTCATGAATGCAATAATAAATTAAATTTAAAGATGGCAACAGAACATATCGAACATTTTTGGGACTCAGAACAAAAAGCATTGGCTGGTGAATCTACAAAATTTGAACATAAAGAAAGTTGGGAGAAATCTCCTTTTGAACATAAATTACCGGAACATTATTTTTGGCCGAGGACTGAGTCATTTAATAAAAATGAGGAAAATTCAATTGATACAAAAAAATCAAAAAATAGTCATGATTTGTTGCCAGAAGGATATATGCATGTGATTTGATGAGATACATAATTGAGGAAAGTTGAATTGAGAAATTGACCAATGAATTTTATAAAAAATTCATTTTATTGTAATTTTCAATTGTGATAGTATAAATGTTTAAAAATATTATAGTTTTGATGATAATTTAAATTGTTTTTAATTTTATAAATGCTGTTTTGTCTAAAGTTGCGAGTGGTCGAGGTTTTTCGAAAAAACGAAACTAAGGATCTCCGTGACTTTTTTTCTCCGTGAAATTTTGGCCGAGGTAGAGGCTTGAGGATAACCGAGGTTTTCAAAAAAAAATATAACTTTTGAAAATTTAATTAAATTTGCTCAATTTCATCAAATTTCTAGTAAATTACTATAAATTAATAATTTCCATCATATTCACAATTTGGGTTTGAAATTTGATGGATAAAGAGGTGAAAAATCAAACTATCTGAACAAATACATTGAAACTAATTGATCATTTGTTAAAGCGAATTTAGACAGATCGAAGGATTTTTAGGATGGCGATGAACTTAGTGGAATCAAGGAGGTTTTATGGGGGCTTAATTGGAATTAAATTAATTTAAAAAATTAATTTAACTAAATTAATTTAACTCCAATTAACGGATTGATTGGTGTTAAGCGGATTCGGGAGATTAAGGAATATATCAGGAATATGAATGGATATCGTGGTCACAAAATCGAATTACCTTGTTAGTATAATTTATTTAATAATTTCGCATACAGATTAAAGCAAGCCTCAATTTTATTTCATCAGAATGACTGTGGGAATAATATCAATCTAAAACATTAATATTTCATCAGTGAAACCGTTAGTAGGGGATTCAAGGATTCCTATGGCATGTAACACATAATCTCGATTTATCGAAAATCGATTTATTGACTCGAACCAGAGCTGCGTCGAAATTTCGATTTGCGACGTTTTTTTCTTCCGATTTTATATTTCGAAGATTTTTTTGTTTCAAAGCAGCTAGACTCGCACTCAAATCTTCTTAAAATTATTTTGACAATTTTAAATTTTATGTTAAGGAAGTAATTTTTTATTTTATCACATTAAAATTTATTGTCTGAAATCGTCGTGTCTGAGCTATAAAATTTGATTTGAATCAAAACAAAAATTTAAAAATAAAATAAGAAAATAAATTTTTAAAATTAAACAAAAACCAGTTTTAGATTTGAAATAAATTAAAAATAAATTACTAATATGAACTAAATAAAAAAATTTTTTTTATTAATTTGTTTACATTTAAATATTTTTTAAATAAAAGTACATTTTATAATGGAACTTTAAAACTATTAAAAACTGCGATTGAGACGAAAAAAAAACTTTATAAAAGCTAAAAAAAAAATTTTTTAAATATTAAAAAATTTTAAAAATAATAAAACAGAAAATATATTCAAAATAAAAATGAAAATTTACTTAATTTTAATTATTGTTTTGATTTATTCTATTGCTGTTATAATGGCTGAAACAAATAAAGAAATTAAAGGAATGGAAGGTCATGGGGAAGAGAATGTTGACATGGCTGACATTGGTAATGCTTATAGTTGAGATAAAAAATTGGGGGTACCGAGATGGGAATAATTATAGAGATATGGGATAATTATAAAGGATAATTATAGAGAGAATTCCGATCAATCTTCAAGTCAATGTACATAGTAACATGAGAAAATTTTTTATTCATATCCATCCAAATAGTAAAAATGAGCTAGTGTTTAGGAGTGGGGGTTGATGGGTATCGTCGGATTCACGGACTACCTTACAAATTTGAACTTACTTTATTATCTTTATCATAATCTTGGATTAATCTCACAACCTCTCGCAGGGGTTTTTTTAAAATTTTTTATATACGGTTATATTCATCAGAATTATCAAAAACGAATTAAATAAAAATTATCATGCATAATCGGACTCAACTCTCAGTTGAGTGTACAATATTTTCAACAACAAAAAGATCCGATAGAATACATCAAATTCTTGACAGTTTTTAATTTTTTTAATTTTATCAAATTTTTCCAACGTAAAAGTAATTAAGCACAAAATAAGAAAGGAATACTGACTTCTTAATAAACTAAAAAAAATTATTTTTAACCGTTACAGACAGTCCAGTTCTTGGATATTTCCGTGTACGCCGTAGATGTCTTCCACTAAGCTGTATTGGAAACTGTGGCTCTGGAAAATGCCCTTATTGGTGTAATCTTTGTTATGGCAAATATATTATAAATATATTATAAAAAATATATTATAAAAAACAAATATAGAAAACGAAAAGGATGTGAAAAAATTTTTGCTGAGACAAAAATAAATTAATTTTAAAAATATACGTATTAAATTTCGAACGGAAAATAGACTAATAAAATTTAAAAACTAATTTTTTGGTTAACAACCTATTTTTTATCTGCTAATGTATGAAAAAATCAAACAAATAATGCATAGGGATCATGTATTTTTACAAAAATTTTGGGGGTGCTTAAACTTTTTAGACAGAGTTTATGTAAATTTTCGGTAAAGAGCTTTCGAATATAGATTAGGGTTGCGCGACGTTGGCAGATGTCGTTCGAACGGTTCGGTCGATCCTCGGTCTCGGAACCTCGGTTTCCGCCCTCGCCAAGAACCTCGTCGAGGGCTAAATATACGATGAATGGACTTTTCGAGGAATTGAAAGAAAGCTGGCTTCTTAAACTTCCAACATTCTCAAAAAATCTCATGCGGCGCTGAAGAAAGCGAGCATGCTTATTTACTACATCAATCCCGAAATTTACCCCCAAGATTTTTCTATTAGACATCAAAATTGATGATTGGGCCGCCTGCTGAATCAGATGAGCAGCTTTGGGGGTCCGGTTCGCTCTACTTAGAAAATCTAGCCTTCGAAAATTTTTAAACATTTTGCCTTCGACAAATGACTCGTAAAGATAGGCACGATTCCAACAAGACGCGATAATATTATTCCAAATTTTCTGACAAAAATGGCAGAAATCTAGCTTCTTGACCTTTAAAATTCTCAAAATTTTCAGCGCCGCAGGCGCTGAAAAGGGAGAAATCTTTCTCCTTGTCCTTCCACCCTATATCCAATGCATAGTCACTATTAATCTATTGTAATTCCTTTGTGATGAAGAATAGTTTGTTACTCACGTTCGTATTTGTATTTGAACACACCTCAGGTCGTTTATCAACATTTTGGAAGAAATTACTAGCTTACAACTTCAATTTCAACACTGATTTCAAAACAAGAATGTTGCTTGTCTGACATCTGACAATCACATGAATATACTTAAGTGCATCTTTCATAATTTTATTTTCTCATAGACATTGCACTTTTATTTTTGATTTAAAGATTGTACTTTTAGACAAATATTTATCTTATAAAAGCTAAATAAAGTCTAGCGACAAACAAAAATTTAAATTTATTTTTTTAAATAAAATAAAATGAAAATATTTGCCTTAATTATTCAACTATTTTTATATTTCCTTCCTTGTAATGGCTTTATTCTTCAATTTTATATTGACACAAGTCCCTTAAAAGGCCAAGTTCAATTAAGCTTTGATGAGTTAAACTGTTCAAAGCCTTCTAATATTCAGAATGAATTAAAAAATTTAAAAATATTTACAACTGCAGGTTACATATATACAACATTTTTTGAAGGAGTTCCATGTCCAGAAGATCAGTATCGGTTAAAATTAAAGGAATTTAATATAAGTGTAAGTAGTTTTTTATTCGGGGTTGAGAATCTAAATAAAAACATTCTATCTCTGCTGGTTATGTATGCCCCTAGCCCCGCCTTTGACTATCTTCACATCTCGGCTGTGGGCCAAGCAGACCAAAAATTTTGGCTAGTCGATGCCATGCACAGAACTAATAGTCACGGATTCGACAATTCTGAACGAAATTATAGCTCGGCGGTAGGTTGGGCTCGCGGTAGGTGGACCTGCTCCCGCCCAGAGGCACTCTTAATTTTGTTAAAAAAATTTTAAAGCTTTCCCATGAAAATGTAACGGAAAGAAAAAACGTTCTAATAATAATGATAATTTTGTTTAGTTAGACTTTTTCTGCCCAACACCCCAGTTTTATGAATTACATGCAAATGAATATTTACTATCAATTTATAACTTAAGTAATAAATTAGAAGTTATTTGCACGTTAAAAAAAGAGAAAGCACCTCCATTACCCAAAAGTACATTGCAAATTCAGCAAGGAATTAAATTTAATGAACAAAACATGAATAGAAACATAATAAATGCATTGGCAAATAAAGGTATTAATAATACATTTGAAATAATTTACATCAATTATTACGAATTTGACTTGAAAGTAGAGTACGTCCGAGTCGAGCGAGTTCGAGTTTACTCGACTCGATCGCTCGGAGGGCCGGAACTCGGGATCCTAATACTCGGTATTACCCGTACTCGGAAACTTCATACCGCTTAATCCCTCGATATCCATCTCATTCCTCTGATACCACTAGTGATGTCAAAGTTCCAAAATTTCTCTGGAACTAGTTCCAGTTCCAGAACCAGGTTTTTAATTTTTGTAGTTCCAGTTCCGGAACTCCATTTTTGAAATTCCTTAGTTCCGGAACTGGAACTGGAACTTTGACATCACTGATTACCACTCGATAACCGCATAATCTACTCAAAGCCCGCGACATTAATTATTAATTTTTCCACCAAATAGAATACAGGAGAATTATCAAGGAATAAATATAGCAGCTCGTACAGTAAACCCGAACCACTACACATCCGACGACTAAAGGGATCGAGAGCTAACCTAGTATTAAGTTAATATGATTAATTGGTTCTTGTTTAAATAATGATCACTTCAGTTTCTACCCAAAATTTAATTAATAATTTTATAGCAAACAAAAATGAAAATTTAATTAACGTGAAGAAGGAAATGACAAGTCTAGAAGAATCCAAGCCATTTTTGAAGTTACTAGGAAAAAATATAAATTATGCTCCATCGAATAAAATACAGGAGAATTATCAAGGAATAAATATGGAAAAAATTGGGGCTAGTTCGAGTCAACCTTCAGTGGTACAAAAACATGCTTTTGAGGCACATTTAACACCAGAAAATAGAAATTTTTCAAATATAAGTAATATGAAACCAATGGATTTTTCACAATTGCTTAAACAAAATAATGTAAGCGTTAAAGCTCGGTTCGAAACAGAGCTGTTTCAAAATTTCGATTTATGATTTCCGAAGATTTCTTAGTTTCGAAACAGCTGTGGTTTGGAACCGAATAGTAGACCCAACAAGCTTATGTTTTAGAAAATTTAAAATTAAAATCCGCAAATTCTAGTATTCATCCGAAAAAAGGTAAATACTAGAATTGGATATATGTATCTCTACTATTAAGCAAGATAAGCGGAATGTTGTCATTGCCATTATAACTTATGTATTTTTGAATGTTGGAAATACCAACAAAAAATGCTAGTCTAGGCACAGCGGTAGAGCTTATGCAAATTGGAAGCGTAGTCTAGCGCAGGGGACCTATCGCAAGTTAGAATCCGGCCCGGTGGCTAAGCTCTTGCTAAACATTTACTATCATCGTCGGAGTTAATACATAGATTATTTTTTTCCGTTTTAGAAAATTTGTCTTAAATTTTTGAATACCTAATTAGCTACGATAACCCTAACAATAAACCCTGACATAAACCTGACATCAGTCGCTTCTTATTTTTTAATTTATAGCTGACACCAGATCAGTATTTCCAACATACTCATATGTTCAAGCCGACTACAAATTTACGACCTATATTACCAAAGCCAACCAATGAACAAAGTAATCAGCAACCTTCAGATAAGAGTTTTGCTGATCAATGGACTGATTATTTGAGAAAAGGGTCAGAACAAGCTGGTTCTTCTTCTTCTAAACAAAAATCGGAGTTGATAGATTTTCTATCGGACAAACGTCCATTAAAAATAGAAAATCAACAAGCGAATACATTAAATAAGATAACTGAACCTTCAACTAATTTTGGTTATCAACAGGTATCAAGTAAGATGGGACAGAATTTTCAACAAACGACTTCTTTGAATAAAGGAGCAGAAACTTCAAAGAATTTAGGCTACCGACAAGCATCAAATATGCAAAAACAAAATTTAATTTATAATCAGAAAAATAATTCTTTGCAAAAATTCTTGTTTCCATTTAAAAACCAGCAACAGAAAAAAGAATATAAACAAAGACAGCGAGCCCGTTTTGGCCAAAATTTTCAACTAGATAATGAACTTGATATCCAACTACGACGGCAATATGAAGAATGGAAGCATTCTCATACTTTCCAACAAACCCCGTTAACAGAAAGTGTTCCAACACAAATGCAACTATTACAACATCAAAAAGCTTACAAGGAACAACAAAGCTTAGAACGTGAAAAGCAATTTTTCGATCAAAAATTGTCACTAGAGAATCCATTCTTGCTAAATAATGAAGGACAACAATTTATTAAACCAATTCAACAAAACCACGCGGAAAATTCAAATAAGGCTCTACAACAATTACAAGAAGGAATGTTAAAAAATCTAATTAAGCAATCTGTGGAAGATGAAATCTTGAAATATAGGATGGTTTGTTCGACTTTAGTAAATATTACCCCATTTGATATCTGTTACTGTTCTGCTGAATAGTAGTTAGTAAAAGGGATGGGATCGTATCTCTTTTGCTTACGTTGTTTCATTCCCTTTAGTTTTCTTTCGCCTTCCGTCTTTCGCTCTTTAAAATAAGGCTGTGCCAATCCTGGTGTGTCTAGGGTTGGCGGATCCAGAAATAATATCGCATATTCAATCCAAGATTTTTGGATATCTGGAGCCGCTCTCTGTGTCGTTATCAACGATCAGGATACGAAAAGAACATAAGTAAATTATGATTTGAATGCCCTAAAAAGTTATCTCATAAAGCCTGTATACGCAAAATTACATACGCAAAATTAAAAAATTGACAGTGCCCGGAAGTTATAGCTATGGGAGCTTTTGTGTTTATGAGTTTTTGAACCTAAGAGTGGTGCTGACTATGTCATTTATGCCTCAAATATAATATTAAGAAGTGAGATTGACAATTTCAAAAAAACTCTTCCAAAAAACTAAGAAGTCATCTCACTTCTTCTATAAATAAATATACTCTAAAGCCGACTATTTCTCATGAAAAAAACTCTAATTTATTTTTAAACAAAAAAATAAAAGGATGCCTTATAAACATTCGATCCTTAAAAAATAAAATTGATAATGTTTCATGTATTTTAAGCGCATATGATATAGATATCCTCTTTGTAACTGAAACTTGGCTTACAACAGAAACCCAAAATATTTTTAACTTAGATATACTTGAAAATTTTAATATAGTTCTTTGTAATCGCATTAATCGTAGGGGTGGCGGCTGCGCTGTTTTGATCAGAAAGCATATTAAGTTTTTCGTTAAACAGTCCATCTCTAAGTTCAACTCAGAAATAATACATCTACAAATACAAAATTCAAAATGTATTAATTTCATTCTTATTTATAGACCTCCTAATACCAGTATTATTCAAACTAAAAAGCTTTTTAAATTCATTGAATCTCTTGTTTCTCTTAACTGCATCATACTAGGAGACTTTAATTTCGGAACAAAGGATTTAAATTGGGTCAATAATATTCCATATTGTAAAAACAGTTTAGGTGATCTATTTCTCAATTTTTTCAATTCTTTGAATCTTTCTTCCACTACACCAGGTCCTACTAGAAACGATGCTTATTTAGATATTTGTTTAACCAATAAACCTGATTTATTCCAAAATATATATGTTGATGGTTCTTTGTTTAACTCTGATCATGATTCTTTAATCTTTGATTTATTATTCCCTATAATCAAAAAAGAAGTCAAACAAATTAAATATAGAAAATATAATAAGGCTAATACATCTTTATTGAATGGATTCTTATCTTCTATCATACCGATTATATCCACGCAAAATTATTATTTGGAAGATAAATATAATCATTTCATAAATAACATCTTAACATCTCTCGACTTATATGTACCAGAAAAACTTTTAACTAAAAAAGATCTTAAACATAATTACCCTGCTCACTTAAAAGCATCTATTAAAAAGAAAGCTGAAATTTATAGACAATTTAAAACTGATAAACTAAAATATAAAGAATTATATGATAGTATATCATTGCATATAAAAATTCAGACTAGAAACTTTCATACTTAGAAACAAAATAATTATATCACTAAAGATAGAAATTCTGTTCATAAATATCTTAAAAAATTTAAATTTACCAATAATGAAATTCCCGTGCTTTACCATAATAATAGATATATCACAAAATCAATAGATAAATCTGAAATTTTCGCTGATATTTTTTCTGAAAACTTTTCTAATACAAATATGCAATATAACCATAATAACGAAGATAATAATCAAATACCTGTCATCGAAGATGTTGATTTTGACATAATTGATATTATTAACTTCATCAAAAAATTGCCAAACAGAAATGGTACTTCACCTGATAATATAAATTATAAAATATTAAAAATTACACTTCCGTCTATAGCTCCTTTTATATCAGAAATATTTAGAATATCATTAGATTCGGGTATACTACCAAATATATGGAAAGAATCTTTAATAATACCATTATTTAAAAAAGGAGAAAAATCAAACCCTGAAAATTATCGACCTATTGCACTAACATGTGCATTATGCAGGGTCATGGAAATGACACTTAATAAATACATAGTTCAATTTTTGCTTGATAACAATTTATTTAGCAACCATCAATATGGATTTATAAAAAAAAGATCTACCACAACACAACTAATTACCACATTAGAAGACTGGTATGATGCAATAATGGGGAAAAAGAATATTGACTGTATATATATTGACTTCAAAAAAGCATTTGATTCAGTACCACATGATCTCTTGATCAATAAAATATATAAAATAGGCATAAGAGGAAAAATTTTAAGATGGATTTCATCTTTTCTTTCTGATAGAACTTTCAGAGTCAAAATAAACAATACATTTTCCAACCCTAGAAATATTAAATCAGGTGTTCCACAAGGATCTGTCTTAGGCCCACTATTATTTTTGATTTATATCAATGATTTACCTGATGTAATTCCGAATGGTATAAAAATTAAACTTTTTGCCGATGATGTTAAAGTATATGTTATACATAAAACAAAAAATGAAAGAAGAATACTTACTAATGCTATCAAAAATATTGAACAATGGGCAACTGAATGGAAATTAAATATAGCTATTAATAAAACATATATTATTTATCTTGGTAAAACTAACCCGAAAGATCAATATAAAATTTTTGATACATCTATAAATGAAGTAGATTCTATACGAGATCTAGGCATCATAATCGATAATAAACTTAAATTTCAAGAACATGTACAAAAAATTATTCGGGCTGCTTATATAAAAATGAATTTTGTGTTTAAGATAATTAAATCGAAATCTATAAAAACATGGCTTACAATCTATAAAAGTTATATAAGACCATTGCTGGAATACTCTCCTGAAACATGGAATCCACAACTAAAATCTGAAATTAACAAACTCGAAAAATGTCAAAAATTCTTTACAAAAATCCTACTTAGAAAATGTTCATTACCCTATATACCTTATTTTCAAAGATTGGAATTTCTTAATCTTCCTACTCTTGAAAACCGTCGTAAGACATATGATTTAGTATTAGCTCATAAAATCCTACATGGATACACTCATATTAAATCAGAAAATCTTTTTAAAATATCAAATAGAAAAAACTGTTATTTGTTATCTAAAAATCAAACTTCAAAATCATCTAACTCATTTGTAAATAGGGTAACTAAAATGTGGAACGTTTTAACTGATGAACTTAGAACCACAAAAGTAACACTTAGTTTCAAAAATAAAATAAAAGCAATACTTATTCAATAGGTACAATCCAATCTATTTTTATTTTTATTGCTATTATCAAGAAAAAATAAAATCAATTCTCGTAAATTCCCTTAAATTACAAACTATTAAAAAAAGGCCTATTGCTCTAAATATTGAATATTTTTTCTCTATTTTTCTTTCACCCTCAAGGAAATATTCAAATTGATAAATGAATTTATTATTTAACATTATATCTAAAAAAATTCAAAACTTCATTTTTGCCAATCCTCCCTTATATTTTTTTTAAAATTAAATTTCGAATATAAAAATTGGCTTGTTTTTAGAGAATAACTGCTTTAAATTAAAATATTATAGATCATCAAGGTTAATCGCAGGTGATAGAGAAAACATTTTTAAATCCTAAAAAAAAAATTCAAATCCTAAAACCTAAAAATATCTCCAAATCCTAAAAATATCTAAAAAAATATTTAAATTGTAAATCTAATATATAATTTGGCATTCTATCTAAAAAATTTATTTAAATGACAATTCATACTAGTATTTTTTTTTCTCTTCTCTCTATCATTTGTGCTATTTCTCTTTTGATGATTCATAAAATCAGAACTGTTTTTTTCCCTTTTTTCTTAATTTTTATTGAAATTTATCATTTTTTATTTTTATTTTTTAAACAATATTTTTTCTTTAAGGAAATTTTTAAAAAAGGCATTTAATTGGGTAATATTCTTTTGACATGTCTAAGCGCAATTCTTCAGAATTTTCTCCTTTAAATTTTGCAGCAAATATGACAAACAACGAAAAACGCAGCAAAATTGTTGAAGAAATTAATTCTTTAAATTTTGACAAAATTGCAACAGAAATTAAATTAATGGACCTTCTTTTTAGATTTTTGATTTATGTTTTCTATTAAAGCACCTTAAATAAGTAAAATAGTCGGTACGGAGTATATTTATTTAAACAAATAAATCAATTAAATATAAATTTATATGTGTTTTTTTTCCCTTAATTATTATTGACTTATTGTTTTTTTTGCTGTTTTTTTTTTATATATTTATTGCTTCTTTTAAGTGCCACACTACGACATTGTTGTCGGAGTAAGTGGCACGCCCTTTCGATGACTTTTTTTTATGTTGATAAATATAAAACCCTGACATAAACCTGACATCAGTCGCTTCTTATTTTTTAATTTATAGCTGACACCAGATCAGTATTTTCAACATACTCATATGTTCAAGCCGACTACAAATTTACGACCTATATTACCAAAGCCAACCAATGAACAAAGTAATCAGCAACCTTCAGATAAGAGTTTTGCTGATCAATGGACTGATTATTTGAGAAAAGGGTCAGAACAAGCTGGTTCTTCTTCTTCTAAACAAAAATCGGAGTTGATAGATTTTCTATCGGACAAACGTCCATTAAAAATAGAAAATCAACAAGCGAATACATTAAATAAGATAACTGAACCTTCAACTAATTTTGGTTATCAACAGGTATCAAGTAAGATGGGACAGAATTTTCAACAAACGACTTCTTTGAATAAAGGAGCAGAAACTTCAAAGAATTTAGGCTACCGACAAGCATCAAATATGCAAAAACAAAATTTAATTTATAATCAGAAAAATAATTCTTTGCAAAAATTCTTGTTTCCATTTAAAAACCAGCAACAGAAAAAAGAATATAAACAAAGACAGCGAGCCCGTTTTGGCCAAAATTTTCAACTAGATAATGAACTTGATATCCAACTACGACGGCAATATGAAGAATGGAAGCATTCTCATACTTTCCAACAAACCCCGTTAACAGAAAGTGTTCCAACACAAATGCAACTATTACAACATCAAAAAGCTTACAAGGAACAACAAAGCTTAGAACGTGAAAAGCAATTTTTCGATCAAAAATTGTCACTAGAGAATCCATTCTTGCTAAATAATGAAGGACAACAATTTATTAAACCAATTCAACAAAACCACGCGGAAAATTCAAATAAGGCTCTACAACAATTACAAGAAGGAATGTTAAAAAATCTAATTAAGCAATCTGTGGAAGATGAAATCTTGAAATATAGGATGGTTTGTTCGACTTTAGTAAATATTACCCCATTTGATATCTGTTACTGTTCTGCTGAATAGTAGTTAGTAAAAGGGATGGGATCGTATCTCTTTTGCTTACGTTGTTTCATTCCCTTTAGTTTTCTTTCGCCTTCCGTCTTTCGCTCTTTAAAATAAGGCTGTGCCAATCCTGGTGTGTCTAGGGTTGGCGGATCCAGAAATAATATCGCATATTCAATCCAAGATTTTTGGATATCTGGAGCCGCTCTCTGTGTCGTTATCAACGATCAGGATACGAAAAGAACATAAGTAAATTATGATTTGAATGCCCTAAAAAGTTATCTCATAAAGCCTGTATACGCAAAATTACATACGCAAAATTAAAAAATTGACAGTGCCCGGAAGTTATAGCTATGGGAGCTTTTGTGTTTATGAGTTTTTGAACCTAAGAGTTGGATAATTAAGTTGGATAATTAGAATAAGTTGGATAATTAGATAATTAGAATAAGTTGGATAATTAGAATATTCTAACCGTTAAATAACACAAATTTTCAATTAAGGAACAACAATTAAAGGCACAAGAAGACTATCTGCAAAATCAACAAAATGTTCAAAATCCAAATGAGAAAGAAGCTGTTGACAATGAACCCCAAACACTTTTTCGCCCCATAGCCACAAAAATAACTCCAAATTCTCAACAGCCTTATTTAACTCCTCAAAGCACGAAACATTTAGATTCGATAATAAAACAATTAAAAAATGAAAAAAATAATCAAGATGAAGAAACTAAAGAGTTGAATAAAAGCGTTAAGGGAAAAGAAAAGTTGGATGAATATAAATGATTAAAGTAATTAAATATTCCCTTTATTAGAAATTATAAATTAAAATTAAAATTTTGATATTTATAAATTAAATTTAAAATTACATTTAAAATTAATTTTGATATTTGTTAAACTAAATCATTTTATATATTTTAAAATTTGATTTTGTAAAATTAACTCCTGTTTATCATTAATATCACCGACTTTCTAGGTAACTAATTTATCCTCAAATGTCTTCCCTTTAAACAGAGGTTGGTCGGATTTCCAAGTTCCGATTTCCGAAAGAATAAATTTGATTTCCAACCTTCGATTTCCGGAATTTTTTTCCTTCCGATTTCCGATTCTCGGAAAAATTTTGATTTCCGATTTCCAAGTTCCGATTTTTGAGCAAATTCCGATTTCCGTCTCTCCCGATTTCCGACACCTCTGACTGTTCCGACCCACCTCTGCCTTTAAAAGTCGCGCTATGTTTTTGGATAATTTTCCCCCAAAAATTTTTACGGAATCATTCATCATTATTGGAAAAGTTTACCCCTATTTAAATATTTAATTTAAAGCATTTTAATTCAAAAATTATTAATAAATTATTTATTTTAAATTTATTCATAAAAAATTGTTTTTTAACACAAAAATAAAATAAAAGGGTCACAAATTTATAAAAAAGTAACATTTTTTGTCACGCTGCTGGGACATATTTTTATTCTTTTTTGAAGAGAGAATTAATGGAAAATATAAAAAATAAGCGGTTATTTATTAAACAAAAGTTGGAGACTTTTCCCATCCATTCATTTATAACTTTTTTATTTTTAATATTTTTTTTGTTTAATTTTTTGACAAAAAATATTTTGGCTAGAAATAGTTTTAAATAAAGTATTTTAAATCAAAATTTTATAATTTTTTCTTCATAATTACTGCAAGGAATTTTAGATTAACGTATATACTCTATTAATTACCCTGAGTAATTATTGTTTTGATCTTTCTATGAAGAGGGTAATTGATAGAGGTGGGGTAATTAATAGAGATTATTTTAGGAAGGCTAATTATAACTTTTATGGGAGTAATTATTTTTTAACTTTTCTATAGGGGGCAACTAATAGAGTTGGGGTAATTATTTGAGGGAGGGTAATTAATAGAGTATATACGGTAAGTGTCTAACGATAACAAATAACGAATCAAATTTTCCTTCAAGAAATTATTTTAATTTTTGAGTTCCCCTCATAATTTTTTTAAAAACAAATCCAAAAAATAATTTGTTTAGATAGTAACCAAAATATTTTTTTATTTATTTTACTTCCCCAACTTTCCCCTTCCTTCCAATCTACTTAAACCCATTCCGCCAAAAAAGTTTTATTTTACCCCAAATTTGCTCTCCTTTTCCTTTCTTTTATTACCCATTAGGCCCCACAATTATTCTTCTTCTTCACACCCTTAATAAAATTGACAAAATTCCTTCTCAATCCCCTCTGGCCATTTAGTTAAGAAAACAAAATTTATGATCGTTTCAAAAGCTGACTTTTCCACAATTTTTCATTTAAAAAGAAAACACATTTTCTTCAAAGAATAACAAAAAAGAAAAAGAAAAATGATTTAGTTTTAGGCGCATCTCTTTGATCAGAAAAAATATATAAAAAATATTTTTAGATTTAAAATAGAAATTTCCCTCGATTTTCGGGAATCGTGAATCGGGTCGGCGCGATCACTGATCTATACCTTCAATTATCTCTACGAATTTTCTGTTTATCAGAAACCTGGTGACCGAACTGTAAGGGTCTTAAGATTTTCAGCTGAAGATTTCTCCAAAATATTTTTTCCGGATTTATAAAGTCTAATAAATACTATGGATTATACATATTAAAGTTTTTCTACAAATCTTTTCTATAATTTTTTTTTTATTTTTCCAATTTCTAGGCAATTTATTTTTTAAAGAAATTTTCCGAATTCAACTTAGTTTCTGAATAATATTTTTCAATTGTGTTTTTGATTAACTTTGGTCTATGTAGTCCGAAATAGAAATAAATTCCCTTTTTGGTGAACCAGTTAATTTTTTTTAAATTTAGCAGTGGTTAAACACTGCTTACAAAAAAAGATTAATTTACATAAATTCAGGAATCTATTCAAGATTTTTTTCTAAATTTATAAATTTTAATAAATGATATAATTTATATTAATCCTCTTACAGAATAATTTTTTATATTTTTCAGAAAAAATATAAAAAATGCCTTTAGCTTTAGAATAAAAATTTACTCAATTCCAGATACCTTCAATTATTTAAACCAATTTTCTGAGTATTAAAGACAGTATTGTAAAAGTCTTAAGCGATTTGTGATAACACTTTAAGTCTATTGTTATAAATTTTAATTTAGCAGTTATTAAGCACTGCTTTCAAAATTTAAAGTTTTCCAGCTGAATCATATTAAACTTAGTCATGCAATTATGTCAAATTTCGTTGTCCGTTAATTTTTTTTATTTCATAAAATATTTATTAGATAGTCTTAAAGGCTAATTTAGCAGTGTTTACTCTGCTTACAAAAAAAACATTCAAGTAAATTTAGGTTTTATTCATTAAATATTTTTTTTAATTTTAAATTATATTAAATAATATAATTTATATTAATCCTCTCACAGAATGACTATTTAAATTTTTCTAAAATCATTTTTTATTAATTGCTAAATTTTCTTAATTTAAAAGAATTTAACAAAATTTTTCTTCTACTCTCCTTCTTTTATTCTTCCTTTATTATGTCCTCAATTTCCCCGCCCCAAAATCATCCTTCTTCTTCTCCCCTTTATTCACCACAAACTGAAGAAACATTTGGCAAAAAAGAAGAATTATCTACCAAATCAGTGTCAAAAAATTTAAAAAACAAAACAAAAATAAATTTAAACAACAAAATTATAAATAAACCAGCATTTGTTGCTTCTACTTTAGCTCAGAGACAAATTTTGCCTCAAAACGCTCCTTGCAGACAGAGATATAACGCTGCATTTATTGTATAAATTTTTAATATTTTTTTTGTTTTTTAAGAGTGAAATAGTAAGCTTATAATTTGAAATACAAATATTAGGTTAAAATTGAATATTTTTCGAGTATGTATCTAAACACATTTTTAAGTTAAAATTTCGAAATTCTTAAATTACCGTGTATATTAAATTTTTAACACTGAAATTGAAAAGTTTTAGAATGAATATTTTTTTAAAAAAATATCAACAAAAATCCACTAAAAATCAAGACCAAAACCCGAATTATAATTACCGTATTTTCTCTATTAGAAAGCTCTCCTATAATAGAATGCCCCCTTTGAAGGTGATTAAAAAATAGAATGGCCAGGATTAGAGTAAATATTACTATTACAAATTAGTAAAATTATTAACTCTAATTAGTAAAATACATTAGAGTAAATACGGTAATTTGTTTAACTGTAAATCGGAGGTACGTGTTGATTTCCTGTCTCCAACAACTCTATATTAAATTAACTTTTGTACTAAAATTAGATTCCAAGAGCCTTAACATTCCTGGAATTTCATACTCAGAATTATACATCTCCAAAAATTTTCGAGATAATTTCAGTCAACTTAATCCAATAATTTTAAAACTAACAAAATTTTAAAAATTCAGGCTCTTCAATTTGCTTATAAACAAGCAATGACACAAAAACATTCAGTTGGTTAGTTCAAAAAATATTTTTCTTCCCATTAAAAAAAATTTTCAATAGAAAATGGGTGTAAAATAGAGCAAATTGTTGATGAACAAAAACTTTTGGAATTAAAAAGAAATATGGCTAATTGTAGGGAAAGGCAGAGAACGGAAGTTATTTCTACTCGAAAATTTATTTTAAAAAATTTTTTCTAAATTAGGAATTAAACGAGGCATTCAAAAGACTCAGACATACAATACCTTCAATTCCGTCTGACAAAATGAGCAAAATCCATACTTTGAGAATTGCAACAGAATATATTCGGTTTTTGGATAGAGTTTAGATTTTAATTTTCAAATTAAATTGTTATAGTCGGACCTCATTTTGGCAAAGAACTGTTCTTTTTAAAAGATTTATTTTAAATAAGAGATAAAGAGAGTATCATAAATAAAGTGTCTTATATCGGGTTATATCTATTGCTTGATATTGGGCGTTTTGTGACTTCGGTTCTGAACTTTACTGAATTTTGGCACCGAGCTGATAACATTAAAAGACTTAGACATAAAATACCTTGATAGAGTTGTATCCATTGTTGAATATTAAGTAACCGTATAATGATAAGATAACCGTATATTGAGTAAGTAACCGTATAATGAGATTTCGATGTCAAACAAGATAGAAATATAGAAATCTTAAACTAATTGACTTAATGTGAATAACATCGGATTTATTCTTCTCAGAGCTAAGGAAGTTCGGAGAAAAACAGGTAATACACCTAAAAATCAAGTTCCTAATACATAATGAGGTCCGACGGTAGTTTATTTAATTAATAAATTAAATTAAAGGCATATAAATTAATGGATTTGGCTACAAATAATGAAAATGTATTTATAAATAATTCTATCAATTATTTCTATAATGAAGAACAAATGGCTGTAACAACTTTTGAAAGTAATAATTTTATTTATAATTTTGAAAATTATGTTAGCTAATGATTTTTGATATTTTTTACTAAAAATCTGAATCAAAAATTCTAAGTTTTTAGTCGGTTCCCCCAATATATTCAAAGCTGAATTATATAAATATTTATTTTTTTATTATTTCGTTTTTAAATATTCGTGAATTTACTAGATAAATGTGGTTTTAATCTTTCCATCATGTATTTTTTGGAAGCTGAACGTTATCCAGCTACTAATCTTTAACTCAAAAAATGTTTAGGATTGTATTATGAATTAACTCTGTTAAACAGCAACCTAACCTGCAACCAAAACCGTTTCAGTAGCACAGAAATAAAAAACCTTTACTTAGTTCAAATTTTGTGATTTTTAGTCTATTCAATGTATGTAAATCCTAACTAGAGACCGGATCTATACGATATATCGATGGAAAATATCGATATATCGATGTCGATATTATCGATAATCGATACCGATATTATCGAACGAAAATTTTTTTGATTTTTTCGATAATAATTTCTTTTAAATTTTTGACCTTTACCCTTCAAAAACTGCACTTTATGGGTCTGAGCTAATCTGGATGATTTATATGTCCCCGTCATAGGTACAACTTCCCACGACATTGGGACAACTTCCCCATCATTGGTACAACTTCGCCCTTTATTTGAACAAATTCCCCCGTCGGGGAAAATATCGAAAAAAATATCGAAAAATTATCGATATTTTTCGATAATCGATATTTTTCGATACCGATACCGATATTATCGAACGATCACTAAAGTCCGGCTCTAATCCTAACCACATATTTTAAAATAAATTTTAAAAATTATTTTTATTAATTTAATTAAAAATTCTAGGCATAAACCAGCTCCGTACAAATTTTAATTTGTGGCGTAGTGAATTATCAACAATTAATATGATGGCAGAAAAACAAAAAAAGAATTTAAATAATTCGGAAAATGAATTATTTAAATAAAAAAAACTTTTGGAAAATTTTTTAATTAATTATAGCTGTGAATTTGTAAATTTGTTTCCATATTTGGCATTTATTTTTAAAGAAAAAAAAATAAAAATATTCTCAAAAAAAATAAAAATTAGTCTTAATAATATTTCATTTTTTAGTTTCAAATTTGCAAAACAAAATAAAATTATTTTTCTTTTGTTTAGCTAAATATAGAAACAGGTGTGTAATATAAATAAATTTTAATGAAAATTATTTAATTATTAATAATTAATTTTTTTTTATTTTTTAAAAATTTTTTAAATATTTTCATTTAGTATATTAATTCTTTTTAAAATTTGAAAAATAGTTTTTTGGTTCTTCTAATCAAATCTTTCCAATTTTTGTTTAAAAATCAGCAATGTTTAGTTTCCACCTCCTCCCGAATTTTAACTTTATTTCCAACACCTCCCAACAAGTGACTTGAACTTAGAGTGACATTATTCTCACAGCTCGTAGGCGTACATACTTCCATACAGATTTTTTCCTCGAGAAGAGAAGCATAAGTTCAGTCATCGGGCAGGATTCGAATCTGCAACCTCCTTGCAGCCATTGCTAGGTACTTTCACTCACCGTTTATAGGAGTGACGCACCGCTTATATCACTTACCGCTTATAGGCGCTTTCACTCACCGCTTATGCTTATTCTTTTCCCTTTTTAGATCGTTTAACCCCATCATAAGCGATTTAAATGCTGCTATGTGACTCATATTTGTACTCATGCCTGTCTAAATTTATTTCTAAAACTCACACACAGTCTTAAGCATGAATTTCTGTGCGAGTTTCCAAACACTTCTTCTATTCCCTTCTTTTAACACTCCTAGTATTTACAATGATGTAATAGTACTTACATAACTTAATACAAATTTTCAAATGACATTTTGGCATACAATTTTTTAAAATATTTTTTAATTAATTTATTCTTATCTTTTTTTATTATAATGTGAAAATTTTGTATAATAAAAAGGAAGTTTTTAAGCCCCCGCAATTTTTCAAAAATGCTTTTACCGTTTTCCTGAGAGCTACATTATTCTCACAACATACAAAAAATTAGTTAAATAACCTGACGAGATTTAAATTAAAAATAAAAATTCTAATTCACCAAGGTAGCCGAGATGCTTGTTAATTAGGTTGGAGGGAGGAAGTTGGGAGGGAAGGGGGGGGGGGGGGAAGTTGGGAGGGAGAGAGTTTTGGCATTAACATAAAAAAAGAAAAATTTATTTTTAATTTTCCCACGATTGGCATTTTGATAATACGGTTTTTATAAAAATAAATTTTGCAGGAGAATGGCCAATCAGAGCCTAACAGGTAAAATGTTTGGAATTTAAGAATATAAATATGTGGGTAATTTAAAAGTTTTCGGCGTCATTTATATAAATATTGGTATTTTATAAGTTAATTTCTTGTTTGGGTTTTATTAATATTTATTTAAAATGAGTCTCTGTCAATTAATAAAATCCCATTTAAAGAAGGAAAGGGATTTTTTATTTTTAAGGTTGTTAATGCTATTTAGTCATTTAATCCTTTGTAATCCTTTGCTTATACGTGTTTGTGGATCCGAAAATTAACGAATATCCAAAATTTATGACACGAATACAATTGAACCATTAGCCAAATCCTTTTTGACATCTTCGTAGTTTTTGTTTTCGCGTTAAGGAGGCTACGACAAAGAAATGGGGGAATACAGGCGTAATATCCAACATGGTTGCCTCCAGACATGCTATGAATACGGATATGGATACAGATAATATTAAAATGCCTGCGGATATCCGCCTGTATCCGTCGTAAATATTCGGATACGGAGACTAAAATCAGGATCCGTGAACAGGTCTGGTTGCCTCACGAAAACTTTTTCACCTACAATATTCATTAAAAGGATTGCCAAAAATCCGCCAAGCTTAATCATGTGTTGCTTAAAACAGACATCTCAATGTTCCGCCATTTATTTACCCTATTAAGATTTCATTAAAATAGCAAAGTCCTTGTTTAAATTTAACTTTTAAGACATTAAACCCTACCCCAGCCAAAACTATCTTATGTCTTCTTATCCTCTATTAAGTTAAATATTTGTTTAGTAAATTGAATCCTTTATGTTTTTAGCTATTTAACTAAGCCTTATTTCTTTTTAAATACTTAAATTAAATAATTTACTAAATTTATACATTAAACAACATATCCTCCCTCCATTTGCCTTAAAAAATAACATTGCTAATTATTTCAAAATTGTTTCTATTTTAATTCTTTTTTCTAATCTTAATTTGGAAATATCCAAAAATAAAATTTTAAAATTTTTAATTATTAAATAGACATTCAAAGAATTCTTTTCTTTATCGTTTCTTTTATATTTTTTAAGGTAATAAATTAATAATTCAAAAAGCAAAAAATTATTATATATAAGGAATGCATGTTTTCTAGCAAAAAAAAATATTTTTTTTTGATTTTTTGTTTTTTAATTTATTTGCAATTTTTACAAACAAAATTGAAAATTTTTTATTTTTGTTTTTTGAATATTATGGTGTAACATAAATAATTAGCCCCCCTTAAACAATGTACATTTGAAACTTTATATCTCAATGTTCATATCTCAAATTTATTTAATTTTTTTGTTATATATTCTTAATGATGTCTTCTTCATTTCTGAAAGATTTGAAATTTTTTCTTTACTTACAAATTTTTTATGAATTTTTATTTTAATTTATTTTTCAAATGCGAAAGTTATTTTGTTGTCAAACATAAATTCAGGATATAGGGAACAAGGATTTCCGATTCAAAAACTCCCTGTAATCTGGAGGATCCCTGGTTCGAGAAAGAAAATGAACGAATAAAAGTACCCATAATCGGTTCGGGGCTTTGGTTTGCTCATTACGATAATGGCTCTATTCCAATCCCATCCAATGAATTTCGACAAAGCATGACTATCCATTTTAGATGTTTTCCGAGCTGTGTGCAAATGTATGCCGAAAGAATTAACTACATAAAACAAAAAGTTCGAATCCTTCCCCAAAAATATTCTAAGTTTTCTAATTTTTATTTCCTCAGCCTTCTCAAATAAAAAATGATTTAACTTAATTCAATCTGGATACATTTTAATTTCAAAAATCATTGGAGCGTATTTTTTCTTGTTATAAACCTTTTGTTGTTTCTTTCAGTTTTTTTAATTCCAGAAAAAGCACATACCATAAATTCCTCTTTCATTGTTTAAAACACCTCAGGCCCACGAAATTCTTTGAATAGACAATGGTACATTCTAACTAAGAATTATAAATAAATATATTTTTATATTTATACAAATTTTAATCCAAAAAATATTTTTTTACTAAAAATTAAAATTTATTTTCCATATAAAAATACTCGAATTTTTATAGACTGATGATATCATTTTCTTTATGGACCAAGCCACTCCTCTAGCACCTCTATAACCTATTTGGAAATTTTATAATCTTTTAATTCATATGTGGTTTGCCATTCACTCAATTAAAATCATTTAATAGGAAATTGTAATCTATGTCCGATTAAATGATTACATACGGGTTTTGATTAAATTAATTATTTACTTGCACGTTCTTTCTGCCACACTTTACTAGGTCATGTTTTCTTCTCCTTTCGCCCTTCCGCCTTTTTAAAATGATGTAAGGCCCATCCCTGATCTACAGACTTTTTCCAAATTCTTTTTCCAAGTTCTTAATGACATCAATTAAATTTTTTAAAAATTACTCCAAAATTCATTCATATTCTTTAAAATTTCAGTACTTGTTTCCCCAATTAATTTACCTAAAAAATAATTAAAAATAAAATGAGTATATCATTTAACGACCAGCCAAAACTTGTTCTCTTCATTACCCTGTGCTCGATCTCTTTAGTTGAATCAGCTTATACTTACCAAAAATTGAATGAATTAATGCCTGAATTGAGACAATTTCTTGGGTAAATAATTTTCAAAATTTTTAAAGAAAATTTTATTTAATTTTTAAAGCTTAACACATCTTGGCACTCTACGTCCCTTAAATACACCTAAAGCTAATCAACAACCAATACATTTATCAGCATTTGCTATACCATCATTCGCTGATCAAGGACAATTTCAGGTACATATTGGAACATAAATAAAGCATTAACGAAGAGAAAATTTAAGCGAAAAATACTAAAAAATTTCACATTTTTTGCGCAAGCCTGATTAAAATACCGTATTTCCTCTAATAGAGCGGCCGCCTCCATTTGAACGGCCGTCCCCAATAGAGCGGCCCTTTGAACGCGATTGAAAAATAGAGAGGCCGGCCGCTCTATTAGAAAAATACGGTAATATATATCTAGTTGTAAGCGCTAAACATTTGATGACTAATTAAGCTAATGAAAAATTGCCTAAGAATTATTAGGCATCCAAAAAATTAACACGCCTCCATTGACTGAACACCAAATTAAGTTTTCTAAGTTAATATTTATAATTATTTGTATGTATTACTTATTATTTTGGAATTAATTGGGATTTTTACATTTTTTGAAAATTTAGAATTTTGTTTTTCCTCTGATAGGATGCCTCGGCATTCTATTATTTTTAAATGCTATACAAATTCATTCTATTAGTAAAAATATTGTAGATATAATTTTAAAATTAATTAGCTATTATTTTAGGCATCAAAAAGGACACCTGATTATAACGAGGTTTTAATTAAAATATAAATTTAAAAATTAAAAATAAAAGTGTATTTATTCTTATTGAATGACATTTTTAATTAATGGCAATAATATTGCCATCCATTAAAAAATAATTAAAAATTTAAAATTTTGTGTTGAAGCCTGACTAAAATTAGTCAATATAAAATAGAATTTCATTTCTAATCACTTTAATTTCTAAAACTTTTCAAGTAATAGAGATTCTTGGGATCAGAAGCCGAACTGAGAAAATCCCCTCAATTCAGTTCTGAACTACACCCAATAAAAAATAAAAATGTGGGCCTATAAAGCTATAGTATATTAATTTTTTCCTAGTTACGAGTACGCAAATCAAACAATTTACGAAATTTAATGCGGATTGGAAAACGGCATTTTGATTCAAACGAACAGAAAGGAAATTCTGCATTTGCTCCAAACGGTGAAGAACAAACTGGAGGCAATATTTATTATTATTCTCCCAGTTTTCCAATTGACAACCAATTGCCGGTAATTTTTTGGAAAAAAATAATTTTAATACATATCTCCTTAAAATACAGAAATATTAAAGTATATTTAAATCCCTCCTCACTAACAAATAAAGTACAAATATTATATGTACATAGTTGGCCTTCTAAATTATACTGTTAAATCTTTTTATTGTCTGAAATCCGGGTGCACAACTCTAGTGAAACTTATGATACTATGTACATATCAAAAATTTTTCTTCTCCCTTCTCATAAATTTTAAAAAATGGTCAATTATTGGGTGAGAATGTCTTCAAACGAATCAAACTGATTTTAGTTTCATTCGGAATCCCTAGAGAGAAAATATGTTATTATTTATTTTATTTTATTTCAGTTTATTTTCTTTTCAGTTTATTAAGCCATATCGCCCACAATCAATTTGGCTATAATGGATAATGAAGGAAATTTGAAATGAATTTAAAATAATATTTTCTGATATAATCTTGAGCTTCGTTTAAACAAAATTGTCGAATATTTTGGTTAAATTTTAAAAATCGTCGCCGCCATTTTTGTAATTTTAAATATATATCCATCACTTTGCATACAGTACATGTTATTTCTGGGAGAAGGAAAACCACGTGAGTCGGGTGGGAAGTCGGGAGGTTTTTCGTAAAAATCGTCGTAAATTTTCCCGAGTCGGGATCGGGATGTCTAATTTAGCCCATCCTCTCGATTAATTACCCCCCCCCCCTAGCGAAAGATCGAAACAATAATTACCCAGGGTATTTATTCGAGCTTTTTTGTCTATTCTCGCAATAGCAGTCAGAAAATTAATTGCAAATTAATCTATTTATGAAATTTTGGCTTTAACAAAATTTACTTGAAATATTTTTAAAAAATATAAACAAATTCCCGAATAAAATTTATGCAAAAAAATTTTAAATAAATTTAAAATAAAATAATTTAAAGAAACGATCATATAACTGATCGAATTATAAAAGTCCAGCTCGTTGTACATAAATCCGCAAAAGGCTTTCTGAAAAAAGGCTTTTTGCTGCATTCACTCCTAATCTTCTCTTTCAAATGATTGGTTAACATTTTGGCGCAACAAAGGGAAGGAGATTAGATTTCTGAAGCAAACTAAACTTAGGACTAGACTTGGATTTAAAAATCTAATATACCGTATTTATTCTTATTGAATGGCGCCATTCTATTTTTCAATACCCCAAAAAATAGTCATTCAATTGGAAAGGTTATTCAAATAAAGGCAACCGTCTTTTTATGATGACCAAATACCTCGAAATTCCCATTTATCCCCCAGACTTACGATATCCCTCAAAATCAATTTTATATTTTCTCACTTCCCAACGCTGCAGGCAGAAATTTTTAGAATTTAAGGCCAAGTGGGCAGATTTCTTCCATTTTGGAAATAAAACAAGTAATCCAAAAAAAGTTCAATTTTTAGTGGTGTAAGTTTAGATAAGCCCAAAAAAGTCGAGACCAAGACTTCACCCAAAGACCAAGACCGAAAAAACCCAAGAAAAGTCTTGAGTCAAGACTCAATACCAAAAGTATTGGACGTCTCTATTAATTTTTAAATCCTAAGTCTATAGCACTCTTTGCTCCAGTTAAATCCAAACTCTTTCCCTTTATTGCGCCAAACTGTTAACTAATCATTTGTTAGAGAAGAAAAGGAATGAATGCAGCAAAAAAGGCTTTTTGCAATGCCATTTGCTGACATGTGTACCTATTCTAAAATATAAAATAAAAAGTATAAAAAATGAATATAAAATAAATTAAAATTAATGAATGTTACTTAATGCTTTCGTAAAGAATTAAAGTCATTTAAAAGTCACTTAGATTTTCTGAAAATGAAAAACTATAAAATTTGTCAAGTTCAAAAAAAACTTTTTTGCTCTATAAATTTCTTCTTTATGATACTATGGTAGTTCACAACGTATTATCAATAGATAACAAAGGTTTTCAGATATGGTCAGTTATCTGGTCAAAATCATGCTCAGGCCGTTTCTTAACTGCTTGTGAACTACCATTCGATCAACGACCAATAGAAAAATAATTTTTATAAAGGACAGAAAATAACCTAAAAATCAGAACCAAAAAACTTTAATCCACGCTACAAACCTCAAATCACTCTCAAAATGTCAGCTCGACGACAACCTCATTCAAATGAATCAGTAACCTTATCCCACCAGTTAGTCTTGTTATAGAAAATTGGTACTTCCTGACCATTCCTATATTCGAAATAAATGCCTGTCTCAGGCTGATTGTTTCCGCCATGAGCATTTGCTTGCACTAAATTATTTTTAAAATAAATTTAAAAATAGTATCCGCTTGTAAAAGCTTATCCCAGGGCGGCACCGATCCTTAGAACTCCTTAATATAAAAGCGGGGTTGAATGATAAGGTTGATTAACCCGAATAAATAAACTCCCAAATCTGTGTGAAGTCCGCCAATAAATTCGTTAAAATAAATTAAATATTCAAGTTTTTTGTTATTTATTTATGAATAACTACTAAATTTATACTAATAGATAGAAATTGAAAATTTATAAAATAAAATTTCAATATTAATTTGAATCTGACAGGCCAAATCAAACAATCAACCTTAAAATCAACCGAAAACCCTTACCCATAAAATAAAACTAATGGGAAAAATTCGATTTCAAACAATTTATTTGATGTTTAAAAATTATTATTGATAAAAATTAAATTATATTTAAATTTTTGACTTAAATAACCCTATTATTTAAATTTAAGATTTAAAAAACTTTAAAAATATAGTAGCGATGTAGTAAACAACCTGGTGCCGGTAGAGGAGTATAGCCAGGATGACCTAAATTTTTTTAGTATTAATTTTACAATTATGCCTAGAAAGTATAAAATAATAACCAGTATGTGGAACAATCGTTTGCTGAGTCGTATACGGGTGTGGCATATTTGGATGTCCTTAATATGTCGAATAAGTATTTTAGTTTTAGTAAATATTTATTAAAATAAGTTTTAAAATGAAAAAAAAAGCTTACAAAAATTTTTTCCTATAAAAGTTTTAGAAAAAAATTTTAGATTTAAGCCTAGAAAGTATAAAATAATACCAGTATATGGAACAATCGCTTGGGGAGGCATATGGTGAGGCATATTTTGGGGAGGAATATTTGGATGCCCTAAAAGTTTTGAATAATTATTTTAGTTTCAGTAATTATTAAATAAAAGTTTTATAAAGATAAAATAATCACCAGGATTAGGTAACATCTGTGGGTTAAATTGGTTATTTTGTCCAAATTGTGAAGTTCCTCGAAACTGAGGATTTCCTCCAAATTGCGTCCCTTGACGAGGGAAATTTGGATTATTCATTCGAGGGCCAGGATTTCCTCCAGTTCCTCTATTTTGCATAGTCGGGCGCACTAAAAACGATTATAATTTAACATTATTATGCTAAAAAAATTATAAATTATTCACTCGGATTTTGTGGACGAATTGGATTTGATGGTCCTCTAAAATGTGGGTTATTCATTCCAACACGCATGTTTGGTGGCACTAAATTTTAATTATAATCAAGATTTAAAATTTAACCTACCGCCGCTAGGATTCGGGTTTCTCATATTTTGGAATGGAGGAACAAAAGATCCATCATTGGGCACAAATTTATCTTCTACTTCATCTTCATTATCTGAAAAATGAAAATATTTAACAGAAAAATATTTTTTCACATTTGATTAATTTGATTTTGTTCACAATTCGAGATATTTGAAGTTTTCAAATTCAAATCGAGTGAAACTTTGAATAATATTTGAGTAGAAATCAATGAGTATATTCCGTAGTGGGATGATAGATTTAGAGAAATTCCAAGCTTTATCGTGGAAATATGTAGTATTGGTAGTAACAATGAGGGATTTGTAATGAGTGATTGAATGCAGGTTGATAATAGTGTTCGGCACGGTACGGTATACCGCGGTATTTTTTCCGGTATACCGCGGTATTTTTTTCCGGTATACCGATACCGATACCGTACCGGTCAAATTTTGAAAAAACGGTATTTTTCGGTATCGGTATTTTTTCGGTATACCGATACCGATACCGTACCGGTCCTCGAAAAAATACCGCGGTATTTTCCGGTATTTCGGTATTTGTGAAATTCTCAAAATTTTTGCCTGCGGCGGTGAAAAAGGAAGAAATCTGTCTTCTGGTCTTCCAAAATTCTCAAAATTTTCGCCTGCGGCGGTGAAAAAGTAAGAAATCCGTCTTCTGGTCTTCCAAAATTCTCAAAATTTTCGCCTGCGGCGCTGAAAAAGGATATATAGGGACATTCTATTAGAAGGGGCATTGTATTTTTCAATTATCCTGTTGGGGCATTCTATTAAAGGAGGATATTCTAATGGTGGGGGCATAGTAATTTTCAATCATCCTACAGGGGACATACTATTAAAGCAGGGTATTCTAATGGAGGGGGCATTGTATTTTTCAATTAGCTAAATGTCGAGCAATTGTTGGACATTTTGCTGATTCAAATCTTGCCTATGATCGATTAGAAGAAGCTCAAGTCTTTAAGATTGTTAAGATTTATTGTTAAAATTTTAAAAATAAAATTTAAAAAATTTTATAAAATTTTTTAAAAAATACCGAATACCGGCCGGTATACCGAAAATGTTGAGACGGTATTTTCCGGTATCGGTATTTTTCCGGTATACCGATACCGAATACCGGAAAAGGTCATTTGCCGAACACTAGTTGATAATGAGGGACATCGGGCGATTTAATAACTTCGAATTAAGCAGCTTAACTAAAGAATTATGAGAATTTTTATCATAGCGCCACGCTGTAAATTTACCACCGAAATTTGTTTAACAGATGATAGGAATATTTTGAAATAATTAACAAACCATAATCAGATCCATCATCACTTTCTGGAACTGCAAACGAAGAATTCTTCGGCACTTTTCCTTTACTTTTTTGACTCGAAGTCCCTCCTTGAGATTTATCCTTATCCTCACTATTAAAAGACAATGCTCGAACACTAAATAGATAGATTAGTCAAAAATTTTGAAACTAAAATAGGTAGGTATTATGTCGTATATTTGAGATTATTAAAAGCTGGTTCATTAATTATTAGTTTACAAACTTATTTTCTTTAAGCAATTTTAAAGTTATCCAAAAAATGAATATCTTTGTTAAAACAAATTTTTAATGCATCTGTTTACAGATAGATTTAAAATTTTTAAGCATAGTTACCGTAAATGCTCTAATTGAAGCACATGTGCTTCTATTTTTCGATCCCCTCGTAGGGTGTGCTTCTATTAGAGACTGTGCTTCAAATAGAGACTGTGCCTTTATTTTTCGATCTATTTTTCAAATTTTTAAAGAAAATTTTTTACACCACATAAAACAAAACAAAAATTAAATTTCAATAGAATTATCGCTTTCAATTCGATTTT